CGTCACCTCACACCCGGTGGTGCAGTGGCTGGCGACGTCACCTCACACCCGGTGGTGCAGTGGCTGGCGACGTCACCTCACACCTTTGAGTCTCTGCTGTTGCTCCATGTGTGTGGAGTTTCCATGTTCTCCCCATGTCATTCTGGGGTTTCCTCCAGGTATTCCAACTCTTTCCCCCCCACCCCCCACAGTCCAAAAACTTGCTGAGGCTAATCGGAGTTGCTAAATTGCTGCTAGGTGTGTATGTGTGAGCATGCATGTGAGTGTGTGTGTTGGCACCTCATCCTAGGTTGTGTGCCTTGCAACCATAGGCTCCAGAACCACTGCAGTCTTGAATAGGATAAGTGGTGAGGATGGATGGATGGAAATCCTACAGAATGAACTCTGAGAGGGAGTTGGGAGTTATACAGTCATGGCCGAAATTATTGGAATTTTTCCAGAAAATGCACCATTTCTCCCAGAAAATTGCTACAGTTATAAGTGTTTTGGTATACACATGTTTATTTCCTTTATGTGCACTGGAACAACACAAAAAAAACAGGGAAAAATAGCCAAATTTGACATTTCACACAAAACTCAAAAACTGGGTCGGACAAAATTATTGGCACCCCTCAACTTAATATTTGGTTGTAAATAACATATCAATCGCTTCCTATAACCATCAACAAGCTTGTTACTCTCAGCTGGAATTTTCCACCACTCTTCTTTGCAAACTGCTCAAGGTCTCTCAGATTTGAAGGGTGCCTTCTCCCAACAGCAATTTTGAGATCTCTCCATAAGTGTTCAATCGGATTTAGATCCGGACTCATTGCTGGCCACTTCAGAACTCTCCAGCGCTTTGTCTTCAACCATTTCTGGGTGCGTTTAGAGGCATGTTTGGGGTCATCGTCCTGCTGGAACACCCAGGACCTCTGACGCAGACCCAGCTTTCTGACACTGGGCCCTACATTGCACCCCAGAATCTTTTGGTAGTCTTCAGATTTCTTGATGCCTTGCACACAGTCAAGGCACCCAGTGCCAGAGGCAGCAAAACATCTTCGAACCTCCACCATGTTTGACTGTAAGTACTCTGTTCTTTTCTTTGTGGGCCTCATTCTGTTTTCTGTTAACAGTAGAATGATGAGCTTTAGCAAAAAGCTCTATCTTGGTCTCATCTGTCCACAATACGTTCTCCCAGAAGGATTTTGGCTTCCTCAAGTACATTTTGGCAAACGCCGTTCTGGCTTTTTTTATGTTTCTGTGTCAGCAGTGGGGTCCTCCTGGGTCTCCTGCCACAGCGTTTCATTTCGTTCAGATGTCGACGGATAGTTCGAGCTGACACTGTTGCACCCTGAGTCTGCAGAACAGCTTGAATTTGTTTAGAAGTTGATTGGGGCTGTTTATCCACCATTTGGACTAATCTTCGTTGCAGTCTTTTATCAACTTTTCTCTTCCATCCACGTCCAGGGAGATGAGCTACAGTTCCATGTGTTGTGAACTTCTTGATTATGTTGCACACAGTGGACAAAGGAACATGTAGATTTCTGGAGATGGACTCGTAGCCTTGAGATTGTTGATATTATTCCACAATTTCTGTTCTCAAGTCCTCAGATAATCCTCTGCTCTTCTTTCTGTTCTCCATGCTTAGTGTGGCATACAGACACACAACAGAAAGGTCGAGTCAACCTTTCTCCATTTAACTGGCTCCAGGTGTGATTGCTATATTGCCAGCACCTGTTTCTTGCCACAGGAGAGTTCAAACGAGCATCATATGCTTGAAATAAACGATTTACCCACAATTTTGAAAAGGTGCCACTTCTGCGAAATCACTTTGTTGTAATTCTGACCGCGTACACCAGGGGGCTCTACTGCCCCATTACTGTCATTCGCGCATTAAACAAAACTGGCACCGTCGGCTGTAGAGGGCAGTTGAAATAGCTTATAGTTACACGAAAGGCTGCATGCGGAGCAACGACAATGCCGATGTCATTTTGTTTTCGGTTTTTAAGTAAAGTGTGACATTTACATAAATTGCTAAAATCGCGGCTTGCATATCATATTTAACTTCCTTGTGCCCTTTTACAAAGTACGTGCCCCTAATGTATTGGGTGTAGATTGCGTCTTGTGACCAGATAAGTTAAGCTATGCACCACAGGCTTTCATATATATATATATATATATGTACACTAACTGGCTCCTTTATTAGGTACTTCTTGCTAATGCTGAGTTGGACCTCGTTTTGTCTTCAGAACTGCCTCAATTCTTCATGGCGTAGATTCAGCAAGGTGCTTGGAGCACCTTGGATTCCTCAGAGACTCTGGCCCATGCTGACCTGATAGCATAACGCAGGTGCTGCAGATTTGTCAGCTGCACCTTCATGACGCGAATCTCCCATCCACCACATCCCACGGCTGCTCTATTGGATTGAGATCTAGTGACTGTGGAGACCATTTGAGTACAGGGAACTCGTTGTCATGTTCAGTAAACCAGTATGACATGATGTGAGCTTTGTGGCCTGGTGCGTTATCCTGCTGGAAGTAGCCATTAGAAGCTGGGTGCACTGTGGCCATAGTGGGATGGAGATGGTCAGTGGCAGTACCCAGGAAGGGTGTGGCATTAAAACGATGCTCAGTTGGTACTAAGGGGCCCAAAATGTGCCAAGAAAATACCCCCCACACCATTACACCACCAGCAGCCTGAATTGCTGATACAAGGCAGGATGGATCCATGCTTTCATGCTGTTTATGCCAAATTCTTACCCTACCACCTGAACGCTGCAGCAGGAAATGAGTCATGTGACCAGATGACGTTTTTCCAATCTTGCTTTGTCCAGTTTTGATGAGTCTGTGCCCACTGTAGCCTCAGTGTCCTGTTCTTAGCTGACAGGAGCGGCATCCGCTGTGGTCTTCTGCTGCTATAGCCCGTCTGCTTTAGGGTTTGTCATGTTGTGTGTTCAGAGATGTTCTTCTGCATACCTTGGCTGTAATGAGTGGTTATTTCAGTTACTTTTGTCTTTCTATCAGCTTGAACCAGCCTGGCCATTCTTCTCCGACCTCTGCCATCAACAAGGTATTTTCACCCAGAGAGTTGCCACTCACTGAATGTTTTTTCAGCCTATTATCTGTAAACCCTAGAGATGGTTGTGTGTGAAAATCCCTGCAGATCAGCAGTTTCTGAAATACTCGTACCAGCCTGTCTGGCACCAACAACCATGCCGTGTTCAAAGTCACTTAAATCACCTTTCTTCCCCATTCTGGTGCTTGAGGTGAACATTAAGTGCAGCTCCTCATCTGTATCTGCATGATTTTATATATTGTGCTGCTGACATATGATTGGCTGATTAGATGTTTGCTTCAATAAGCAGTTTAACAGGTGTACCTAATAAAGTGGCCAGTGAGTGTACATTTACTTATCAAGAATGTACTAACAAAGACCTTTTTACTGTGCACAAGTACCAGTGACACCTGTCATCAAGCATCGAAGAATTTTTTTTGGTACTTGTCTGTATATTAATATATTTATTTTCAGAGGTTTGCTGTATAAATGAGTCCTCTGTGTGCTAAAGGTGAGTGATCGAAGTGTATAATTTTATTACACATTCCTACACTTTAAAGGAAGCCTTCAGGATCTCAAGTGGATTTCAACGATGAAATGGTATTTGCGTGTAGCTATTCTATTTTAAAACATTCATTTGGTTAGGATTCCCATTTCTACTCGGCGGTTTTTCCTAGGAATAACCCCGTACAAGATAATACTGACCAATATTAGGAATGTCATCGCCTATAATGTACGATGTGTTTAAGTAGGAAAAGCATATTTTTTTTCTTATGGGAATCAGTGCTTTTGAAAAAGACAGGGCATGCTGTGGCTTAGACCACACCAGACAAGTGAGGTAAACCAACATATTATTTTGTCATTTCGCAGCGTCTAGACGGTCTCAGAAGTTGGTTGTTTTCTGTGAAGTGCTATTTGGGGCGCTGGCTAGTTGTAGCAAGTCCCGGTCAGCTGCGGGCGCCCTGACCTGCAGGCGGAAGCTGCAACCAAACGTGGTGCCCGAGCAGCGAAGATGAGCAGCGAAGATGAGCATGTGGTCCAGCGGACGCTGCTCTGCCGCCACCGTGAGTACGCGCCCGCTCGGGTCTCATGACTTGCCAGCTTTAGCCATGGTTATTTATAACCCTACAACACACACACTACTGCTTTGCGAAACATTACTGATATATTCCACTGACCCCCTACAGCAGCATTATCGAGTCAGACCAGCCCTCAGACCAAACGTCACTGTGCGGTGTCTGGAATTTAGAATTTCTGTCCTACCAGCTGCACACATGACTTTCTGTCAACTAATTATAAAGATTTAATTATAATTAGCTGACAAGTAAAATCGAATGTTTATTTTTAAAAATGGACTGGTTTGGTACGAAGTCCTAGCGTATCTGTATGGTCCTGCCGAAATAGGCCTATTTGTCAAAAATGGGCGAGCCTCTGCAGACGTTTCCCGTGTGGTAGAACATGGGCCAAAGAAGGTCCTGCTGTAGAAGATAGCTCCTGTGGGACTGGTGTTCTGAAAATCACTTCTCCATAAAAAAACCAGCATGCGGCCTCTCTGGGTCATGTTATAAAACAAGTGCTTTATTTCCATACTGTACTGTAGCTGCAAGTTTCACGTCTGTACAAATGCAACAGAAATGCAATGACAGGTGACAGAAATGGATCGAGGCATTAACAAACACATTAATGTACAAAGTTATGCAAACATATAAATTCATAGGTCATTATGCATAATCATCAATAAACATGCCCTATTAGCGGAAATGAGTTCTGACGTACGTTTTAAAGTAACAAGTGCTATATGCAAACAATATTTACAAATGTACCAATCGTTGACTCCTTTCGAAAAGAAAGGTGGTTGCATTAGGCATACGAGATTACAAAACAAGTATGAGATTCTATACAGTATTTATAGTTTTACATTTAAAATGACACTTTGCACACAGGTCGTCTTCCACCTCGCACGCATACACACAGACAGAGACAAAGACTGCTGTTCTCCAAGACAGCTTGCACATCATCGATGTGAAACGTAACGACGATCATGTATTATCTGCAAAGTCTACCGTAATAATTTCCAGTTGAGGGTGAGTAGAGGCACAGCATGTTTTATATGTATGGTGATTAGGCCTACATCAAAAACAATTCGTTTTTACCTAGAAAAGGGCGGAAAATCCCGATTTTTCAAAACGCAAAAGGGCTAGTAAGGAAACCAATTGTAATGAGTTCCATACCAAGCTTAAAAAAGAAAATCATTTCGCTCCTGAAAACACCAAAATGAAGCAGGCTGTTTATGCAAAACAAGGCCCATGAACACTACATACAGCACGTGCTGAGGTGTAGATCGCTCTCTGACCAGACGGGTAAGAGTCAACCTCCACCAATCGCCGAGAAGCCGGCGACGCGCCCCGCCTGCCCGGGCGACAGACGGGGGAACGGACGCGGTTCCAGTTCGCGATACTGTCTGTTGTCTTCACAGTGTGCAAAATCGGACAATTCAAGCTACCGAGGGAAACTAAACAAGGAAGCGTTTTTTAAAGAGCAACGAGGACAAAGACATACAACAGTGACATCTGGTGGAATTATTAAAGCTTCAGAATCAACGGAGTCCACGCACTCCCAAGAAAAAAACACCCAGTCCTGATGTGAACTCTCTTCTTCTCCGAAACACACACACACGCACGCGCGCACATGCACACCTGACAAGGTCCGTATCTCTCTTACGTGGTAACACACAGACACCCTTGGCCTTGCTCACTCGAAAAGAAGTGCATCTCTTGCTGGTGCAGGAAAATCACGAAGTTATCACTGAGATTTTTTCAAATATGGCTCTTCCAGCTCCCTGGAGTCACAGGAGGCAAAGTGCATAGACCCATGCGTGACGATTACCCATCTTCACATCACTGCCAAGCGATCGATCGTACAGGGCTGTTCAATGGGTGTCATAATGCGACAAAATCAGGGAACACAAAGGGATTATATATATACAGTATATGCTGGTTTCAGTGGGTGACCTGCTCTGGAAAAACAACCATCTAGAAAATGTCCAAGCAGATATTTGGGTTAAACATGTGCATATGTATATACTTTGAATTCTTGACTGCTCTCACTTTCAGAAAATTCCAGAAAACCTGAAGAGATTATTCCTATAAGAAACTTTAGGAAGTAGTTCTTCAACCTGGTCCCAGTGCTTGAAATGGGGAAAAAAATATACAGGTGCCAGTAACGGGAGAGGCGCGGGTACGTAAGAAATGTCCCCGGTACTGACTAGACAAACTAAGCCGATGTACCGGTGAGTACTGGTCCACCTCGAGCACTGCCTGGTCCTCTGCACCTCAGCAGAGGGTCCAAGATGGCGGCCGGTTTCCCGGAAACCTGGAGGGCTGTCTTAATGAGATGTCTTTCAAATGAAACACTTTTTTCCTCTGTCGTCTTCTCTGAAGCTGGACAGAGGTTTGAGAATGACACAGTACGCAGTCACGCTACTCGTGTCCACCAACGGGCGTACAGCTCACACTCAGTCGCAACGCTCTCGCACGCTACCACGTTAATGCCACTTGTTATGAGGTCATCGATGCGGCTGCGAGATGCGTCTATCGGACGTTCTGCTGATCGGGGACGAGTTGTGTACCCCTTTGACTAAATCCAGAACTGCCTTTGCGAAAGACTCAGTCAGGTGCCGTCCTATCAAAACCAATACGGACTGAAGTCCTGTTTCAATCTTTTGATCTCTTGAATAATACTGCTGCTCTTCGTAGAAAATGGTGTTTCTCTGGCAAACGGCTGATGGCTTCACTCCCTTGTGGCTTCAACGCCAATGGCAAAAGATCTGCGTGAAGGACGCCTGGCCTGCGTCACGGGACTGGAGAAGCTGGGAAGCAGGGACCCTGGAATGTTCCGGAGCCCCTCGCACGACTCTCCTCCAGGCTTGGGTTGGTCCTAGCGGTAGGTAGCGGTAAGAGCGTGAGCTGGCAGGCGGACACACAAACGGCGTCCATCCACGGCGCTGCTGGCACGGGGGAACGGCTTGGGCGCTCGGGCTGGACCAAAAGGTACGAGTGTGGCTGAAGGCGCGATAGGCTCCCTGTATCTCCAGCCCTGAACGAGGCCGCAGCTACGGGAACGAGTTCCTACAGCGATTATGGCTTCAATACTGAACGCTCCTCAGAGCTCGAAGAACGTCTGGACAATCCCTTTAAAAGGCATCCCCACAAAAGGGAAGGTGGCTTATTACTTTGATTTCACAGAGGAAAAACCATCTGATCCCCAGATCCTTAGATTTAAGGCAGGACTTATTGATTACATGCTCCGGTTACAGCTGGAGCATTCGGAGTATGACTCTTGGACACAATCGTCATATTGCATAAGCGCTTCTCGAGGGTAAATGTCATAATACTGCCTAGACAGTAGTATTTTAGAGTGGGACGCTCCGGAAGATGAGGGAGTAATGTAGGAGCCACAGAAGCTAAGTTTGGGGTTCAGGTCCCACTGCGACAGGTCAGCTAGCTCTAGGAGCTTACTGCCCCCAACAATCTCTTGTATTTGTACCAGAAGCAGGAAGTCTATGTATGATTCCCCCCCCCCCCACATTAATAGTGCATGAATGGCAATTCTCCCATTCAGCTTTGTAAAAAATAGAAAATTGACAGGCTACATAAGATGCACAAATGAGATAAAAGTCCATAAAAGAAAATGCAATAGTAAGAGTTCTGCAGGCAATCCTGCAGGAGGCGCTGTGGCCAGGGATGGGGAGGGGAGGGGAGGGGCAGGAGAGCCAGTCTTTAGTGGATGGGGTTGATGTCCACGTGGTGGTTCATTGGGCCCAGTGGAGGGCCCCCCCCAGGTGCCGTGGAGGAGGTGGTGATGGTGTTATGCTGGATGACTTGCTGCTGGGAGCACGCCGGGGCGGGACTTCCTGCGGGGCTGCTCTCCGGACCTGGGGGGGAGGGGGGAGGGGGGAGGAGAAGTGGGCCAATGAGGGAACAGACCTTGCGAGACCGTGGCTCTCGGAGCGCCCGCGGAGTATAAGCGACCAGTTACATGTACGCACAAAAAACCCCAACAGCACCCTCTCCACCTCCCAGAAGCAGTCTGTATATTTATATAACTCTGTAACCTGGGGGGGGTTGCCGATTTTAGCAGGAGGCTGAGGGCAGAGGGACTGTCTGTCTTGTTTCGCTTTATCCCTGTCAGATGAAATATGGTGAAGTGTCTGTTCCCCCCCGGAACCCTACTCCAGCCTCTGCACCTGTACCCGTGGCCCAGATCTACTTCTCCTCCCGCCAAAGATTCGCCTTTTCAAATTTCATGTTGCCCCTCTGCCTCGTCCATCCTGTCCCGGCCCGGACAGGAAGTCCCCCTGTGCAGTCGCTCGCAGTCGCTCCTGTTTTCCTTTCTGTTCTTAAACACGCTGGTTTTGCCTCGCAACAACTAGTCAGTTTTACTTGCCCGAGTCATTCATCACAAAGCAAATTAATGACGTAATGCTACGTTTCGCCAAAATTCCAGTGATCTCACCACTACCTACATCTCTTTGGTCTTCTCCATGTGTAAGAGTCGTACTTTGCTGTCTTTTACACTATAGTAACATTGCAATACTTGAAGTAGTCATCAGTCACATATATTAAAACAAGTAGTATTTTGCTCACAATGTAATTAGTTAAGAATAATATCTACTGCACACAATCCGTCATCAGTGAAGCCCGCAAATGTTTTTTAGTACACTGCCGATGACATCATCACAGCCGTTTCTCATTGGGAGTGACCTGGGAGGGTGGAGTTTACCACTGCTCCAATGGAAAAGGCATCGGGAACCAGGAGAATGAGCATGTTTTTCCCGTTCTCGATGGGAACGAGGAGTTTACTGGCAGCAGTGCCCGCATCGGAGGGCCTGCTTGTGAAGTTTAGCTCATTTTCCCAGCGGCCAGGCCAGCCTGCCAGCCAGCTCGAAGGAGGAGAAACTGGGCTTTCTCCTGACTGAGGCTGAACATGGTCTCTGTGCTGCTCAGAGATGTCAGATTAGTTTTAGCTGCCCTAGGAGTTGCTGCAATTTCATTCTTATTATAGGTAATAGGCTAAAAATGGCGGTGTAGGGTTTTTTTTTTTTTTGTGGTCCATAAATGTGTTCTGACAGATAAACGTTTGGTACGCGTGCGGTCTCACCCCTCTGAGCCCGCGGGTTTGGACAGCACCCCCCCCCTCCCCACACCTGACCCCCCCACGCCCGGGTACTCACTGAGATAGCCTTGTGACTCCTTCTGTCTGGCTGTGACGGGACAGTCCTTGTGCGTCAGCAGGAGCTGCTTCAGCTGTGTGACTTCGTTCTTTAGCATGGTGACCTCGTTCTGGGGCGACACGGACATGTAGGATCAGCAAAACCGCCAATGTGGCAAACGATGTTTTGGGGTAACCATAATCACCGTTACGCCTTGATGCGTACCGTCGTGGGCATTAGCCGTCTGTGTAACTGCTGGGTTTCTGTGACATGACGTGACCTTACCATCGTACAACTGGACTACCGGTACTCTAACCATAGACGGGCTCATTTGCGGTCACCCTGACCCAGTGTTTCTCAACTTGGACCTCGGGGATCCTCAGGGAGTCCATGTTTTTGCTCCCCCCCAGCTCCCGATGCACCAGTACCAGGTATTCAGTGTTCTTGATTGTTTGGTTCTAGGGTTCTCACAGCATAAGGAACATCGCCCTAACCAGTTAAATTTCAGCTAAAAAGCATAAGAATCGACACAATCCAGCTAAGGCAATTACAGGCGTTACGTTTATCGGGACGAGGCCTCTGCAAGGCGGCCCCTATCATACACCAAAGCTTTTTCGGATGACATAACATCCATTAAAATGTAATTGTCAGTGCGTGGTGTCTATGTGACGACTGGCACTTCTTCCATGGCTCCTCGCTGCCAAGAGTGCTGGGATTTCAGAAAAGAGGGGGGCGGTGGCACCGACAGCGGATAAACAAACAAACGTCTCTCATTGTCTGTCCTCCACATCCAAACTGACTCCGCATTCAGCACAGACCTCCAGCCTGCAGTCTGGCAAAGCTCATGTGTGACCGCTTTAATAATTAACTTTCTGTAATAAACGTAAACATTGGAATCACACGCCCCAAACCCTTGGGCCTCTCCGCACTCGATGTAAAAGCATAAATGTTGAGCGTTCATGCGTTAAGATATTAATTTTTGCTTTGCACTTGGCACTGATGGTGTACAGTAAGCTACAGTTCATTTATGATTTGATTTGAGGGCGTAAACCTCAGGGGACAGATGACCTTTCTTAGGTTCTCCACCTTCTGCCAGACATCAACTGCCTCAGCAAAGCCTCCCGTTGCAGGTTGTGCCCCGAAACGACGTAAAAACACCGTAACTCATTGTCACATATAAACACCATACGGATGTGTCTCATCATTTAGGTGACAGCGAAACGTGACCAACTCCGGGAGCAGGGCAGAGATGAGACAGACATGCTGATTAAACGATCGAATCTGTGCCTTTCACTGGTCACCCAGGTGACCCGCAGATTAGAACCTGTTTAACGGAGCAGATGAGGCTGTGCGTCAGGTATGCGTCTGCGCAGCCGCTCCGACGACATCAGGGGCTCTACCTGGAGCTGCATGTTGGTCTGTGTGAGCTCCTCCGCCTTCTTCTCCAGCGACATCACCCACACTTTCCTCTTCTGCCGGCAGCGGGTGGCCGCCGCCCGGTTCCTCTCCAGAAACTTCCGCCGGCGCTCATCTGGGTCCTCGTCCACCACCCGCCTGCGTCTGCCACCACTGGGGGGCTGCTGCAGGGTCTGCGTGGGCTGCATCTGCTGCGCAGCCGGGGACAGCTGCAACACAGTGGGGGGAGGGGGGGTGTGTGGTTCAGACGCGCGCCACCATCAAAAGCCCCCGCGACGGCCAACCGCCAGGCCCCCGCCCCACCCGCAACCGCACTGGCACCCGGGGCGCCCCTGGCCGGCAGCCAATCAGATGTCTGCGTCCTCCGCTGCGCCCCTCCCCCATTCGCCCGCCAGTCATCTGGACGGCGCAGCCCAGCGTCGGGCCCCACTGCGACACTTCCCTGTCTGGAAGGAGCCTTAAAAACAACACACCCACAGAGGTGGCACGGCTCAAAAGCCGCCTGATTTACTGCCGTCCCCGGCTTATTAAGGAGGTGTCAGGACGGCGCTTTCCAGCCCCCGCTCAGGTGCGTGGAAACAGGCCCCTAAGGAGAGGCAGCGCGTTTAAAAAAAAAAACACGGGGAGCGTAAAAACGTAATACTGGCAACAGTTAAGAAAACGTTAAATGTCATGTTTATGGTTCGGCCCCGTTTGAGAGGGCCGGGGAAAGCGGCGCGGCTTTGATGGTCCCCACTGACCTGCTGCCAACCGACGCTGCATCCTTGAGTTACAGGATCAGGTTCTAGACGTTGACTTGGTCTTCAGGCCTTATTATAGGTCTTTATATGTATTTGGTCAGATAATATTTATAGGCTGTTCATGTGCAGCGTGGCAGTATGTATAAATATCTGTGAGACATAACAGTGTCTCTGCTTGAGTATCAGTCTTGTAATCAAATGGTTTTGCCGTAGAATTCAGTCTTCCCTACAGTCTCGAATACGGTCTTGATTACAGTCTTGAGTATAATCTTGAATACATCCTTTATCATGGTTTTGAATACTAGTCTTGAATCATGAATGCAGTCTTGAATACAATCTCAGATATGGTCTTGAATATAGTTCTGACTGCGATCTTGAACAGTCTTCTTGGTAACCACTCGTCTTTTCAGACAGTTCCGTCTCAGCCTTATTGCTGCTGTATATTCCAGCAAAAACAAAAAAACACGTGGAAAATCTCATGGGTCAAGACTGCAGTAGGTGTGGGCTGACAAAAAAACACACACGCCCAATCAAAACAAGACCCAAAAGTGTCAACCTCAATTGTAGAACAAGATTCCAACGTGTAGAAAATCCAGAGAGCGGGCAAGTGCCATGAGCCTAACAGTTACTGTCTGGTTGAACTTGCCTCCTATGGGCTAGTTTATTGGGATAAACCTGGAAGTGACGCCCAGTGATCTCAGCTACCGTGGGTTTCAAGGCCCAGTTCACCCAGCTAAACCACATCTGCGGGGGGGGTCAACACATACCTGTGAGGGCACCCCGGAGTGGAGCGGGCCGTGTGGAGAGCTCTGGTGGTGACCTGGGTGAAGGTGGGGTGGGGGTGCATGGTGGTGGGTGTGCGGCTGCTGGGCGTGGCCGTGCTGGTGATGCGGGTGGTGGTGGTAGGCATGGGGTGGGGCTGCCAGGTGTTGGTGGGGGTGCGAGTGCAGGTGGTGATGGTGGCCGGCCGCCTCCTGCTGTGATGGCATCATCTCCATCATGTGACCCATGGCGTTCATGTTGCCGTTGGCGATGGGGTCCGGGTGGTGCGTCAGGGTGGCTTTCAGCCTCTGTGGGGGGAGGGAGAGGAAAAGGGGAGGCCATCTTTATCCCAAATGAGGAAGAGCCTGCCCACCTTCTTGGCAATGGCTCAGCCGGTCCATCTGACCCCGGAGCCAGGATGTCCGCCGCGGCGGATGGACGTTCCCACGCTTCGCAGAGAACGACTCGATAAAAAGACCAGGGTTCAAGGGCTCCGGCCGCCGCCACAACTCAGCACCTTCCTGTCTGGCCCTCCCCGGGTCGGGCCGGGCCGGGCCGGACTGGAGTCATGCCCAGGCTAAGCGACTCCGGTTGGGGTTTGGACGGCCTTCTGCACCTGGCCGGCTCTGCGCCGGAGGCGGGCTGTGTTGACACTACGGCCCGTTTTGTTTGCTTAACTGTGTGGTCTACTTAACGAGCGCTCCCGGCTCATCAAACGAGCTACGCGGCCCGACACAAGGTGCACTTGTTTTCGGTGCTCCTGCCGCGCCAGTCCGGGCCGGCTTTCGTGTCACCTGCGGTCGGCCATAGAGAAAACAAACATAATCGTCAGCAAACATAAGGAAGTGCCAGTGCGGGGCCGGCGGCCCAAGCCACCGAGAGCACTGCCCAGTGAAAGCGGTCATGCTGAATAAACGCGTCTACACGCACTTCAGCGAGCTGTGGAGACCGCTAGAGGTTTAAGGATGCCTTCCCCACGGCTGCACAAGCTTCATCTATACGGCTCCTGTAGCTCAATAAGTAGAGTGCTATCCTAACGATGCAAAGGTTGTGGGTTCAAATCTCAAGAAACACACAGATTTTACATGACGCTTCCTTTTACTGCAATTCAGTTTGGGTAAAAGCATCAGATAAATGCAAACCTCTAAACTCAGGCACCTTATATTGATCACTGAATTTTAAGGAGACATTTTACACAAAATGTGTGAATGTCTATCCGAGATGGGACTGGCCTCCCTACTTTTATGTCCCCTTGCTTACTGGGATAGCGTGACCCTCCCGTGGATAACCTATTGCGCGATAGATGAATGATGCATAATGAAGCATGGTTATGTTTAGCAGGTTAAATTATTTTATTACAAATTATGCAACCATATTATCTGAAGGGGCACTAAAAGCTCCTTGGATGCAAGATGGAAGTAGGATACAATCTCAGTTAGTCTTCAGCTAAGTGCAATACTCAATGGTCTATTGTAATTTTGTGTACAATTTGCAAGTATTAAATAATGCAGTTTAAAGAGAAACAGAACTTCAGAAATTAATATAAAGCCGAGGCATTTGGTTCCATGCAGTCATTTCCATTTCTCTGAAGTTCTGTTGTTTTTCAGGGCTGGGTGGGGGGGTCAATTAGCCTCGAGGCGGAATGAGGCAACAGATCCTGGCTCCACCTGCTGGACACAGCTCTGGGGGTGTGGGCGGTGCCACCCGACCTGTCAGCGGGGCATCCAGACATTTCCTGTTGGGGCTGTTCTGGGTGGAAAATGGGCTTTGGCTTGTCTGGGAGGGATTGCGGTGGCTCCCTGTGGATGATGCGGCCAGTGCGGAAGGGTCTGTAATGGTGCTCGGCCAATAAGGAAGGGTCTGTAATGGTGCTCGGCCAATAAGGAAGGGTCTGTAATGGTGCTCGGCCAATAAGGAAGGGTCTGTAATGGTGCTCGGCCAATCAGCTTCTGAATCATGTGAATCAGCTCCAGATTTAGAGATGTAGAGTCTGGGTGTTACTGGACTTGTCCTTCACTTCTTGTAAAATCATTTTGCTAACAGGATACTCACTTAGAAACCCGCATCACTCAGATTAATAAGGACAGCGATAGACTACAGATATTAGGTATAACTGGCACCTCTCAGGTCATTCAGCATTATTTTACTGATTAACTCTAACTGCTGTAACATATCGGCTCCCTTCCAGCCACAGAAGACTTTTTTTCCTCAAACCAAACACCTAAAACATCTTATTATGTGTTAATCTTGTTAACATTCCACGTGTAAGTAAAGCAGTAAGTATGCGAGTGGCTCAGCCCATGGTCACTCGCTCTCCTGCTTATGTTCTTTCTCACCCGTCTTTCCCATCTCGCCCCCACCGCCCCCCCCCCGGTCTCTCCCACACTCACAGCTGCTGTCAGTCGGTATCGCCCCGTGTCGGGGGCTCCACGGCTCTAACAAGCTGCGTATTCATAACCCCCCCGGGGGGAGCGCAGGCCAGCTGGCCGGGATATAAAAACCCCAAACCCTCGCCCCCCCAGCCCGCCATTGAGACCGGCAACCCCGCCCCCCCCCGGGCCCACCTTCACGAAACGGGTCCCCTGCTCAATCAGTCCCCAGCCTGGAGCCACATCTGCACCACTGCCTGCTAAGTACCCAAGAGTGTGCCTCCCCCTTCCTCTAGGGGGCAGCAGATAGCAATGTGTTTAATGGTGGGGAGTAGCAACGTGTGTTATCAGCCTCTGGAACAGACACGAGTTAGCAGTTTGTTCAGGCTGTATCCATCAAAACTAGATCAACTGCATTAAACTGATTATTGTTTGCTAAGTGCTAGTTTCTATGCAAGGGGAGATGTGTCCCGTAATCAGCGTGTGGCTCTTAACCCCCAGCTCCCTGGGCGCCGCCATGGGTAGCTGCCTTTCACAGCCAGCCCACTCTGCAACGAGGGAGGCGCAAAAGACAATTTCCCCACAGGGATCAATAAAGTATCAATTATTATTATTTAGTATTTTATTTGTTTTAATTTTCTATATTTGTTGTTACAGAAATTCTTCTTCTCTTTCAGTCAAGAGAGAAACATCCTCCAGTTTGTAACATGCACACTTGAATATCCTTCAGCGATTGGCTGTCTGTCATCATGCTGATGCTACGGCCTGTGTGAGAACCAACCGCTGCCCCAGCAAGCTTATCTCCCTCTGGCCCACCAACCCCCCCCCCCAACCCATTCCCACAGAGGGGGCTGCCTAAGAGCGCATTAACAGGCCCCTAGCGGGCAGGAGAGGCGTCTGGACCTCTGCCAAGCCCAAGGTGGGGTGAAGGAATGGGGGTGGGGGAGACGATCAATCGACATCCCCCCCTCTCCTGGTGGAGTCTGCCAGCCAGCATTTCGGTCATTTGTCAGGCGGCTTGCTAACCTTCCAGCTGGCAAGCCGGACTCTCTGTTTATTAATTCAATTACTCGGCCCTCCTGTACACAGGCACCCCCTTGACGGGGGGGGGGAGGGGGTCTAGGAGAGTTAAGAGCATCGTCATGCAGAACTTTGCCGTCACAGAGACACATCACCATGTCTGATGTCCGCGGGCATCCCGGTGCCGAAACGGACCGGAAGAGTTAACCCAGAGACTGAGGGACAGTGATGTGATATAATAAAGAACAACAGCTACGAGCCCAGGCCGTGCAGACAGCCAATGAGCACGAGGGGGACATGTGGCAGCGGGTAACCAATCAGACGGTGGGTACTGGTACCAGAACCAGTAAGAGGCGCCCGGAGGACCTGACAGCAGCTGATGCTTCAGGCCGCAGACTGAAGTCTGGCCGTGAAAGAGAGGAGACGGCCTTCTTCATTCCGCAAAAAGCCGTCTCTATTCCCGCCGCTCCGGGAGACCGCTACTGACGCAAACGGGGTGTCCATCGGCGGGCGGGAGGCTTTTCCCAACCCAGATGATGATGAGTTTCGCAAAACCACCGTGTGCGTGTTGACGGGACGCAGGCTCATCACAGGGGCCAGCTACCCCGAACTTTAACGAAACGAGCCGTCCACTAATTGCCCCGGCGTGGAAAACAGTCATTACGGGCCACAAGTCGGGACGGCGATACGGGAGGCGCTCGGAGCCAAAGCCGGCGGGTTTCATCTTGAAGCGGCAATCCCTGCTGAGACACCAGATGTGGCAGAGGGACGTTTTCTAGGGACCCACATGAGAATGCTGGGAATCCTTCATCACACCGGCCATGTGGCCAGAACCCACACTTTGGCGATAAACTCGACACGACCAGCTCAAGCATCTGTCTGGATAATTGAACGTCCCAAAGTTTTCAGTGACAATGCGACAGAACGTTACAGGAGTGAATGAGAAGCACATCTGCATGCTGGTGGCCCAGCTGGCTGGGGATGGAGGTTATCTCCGTGTGAACGGGGCAGACTTTGTGCTAAGCTTTTTTAGGGGAGCAAGTTACAAACTCCGGATTGGAGGGCAGAGGCCACAGAGTACTGAGCGTGTGTCCGTCTGCATGTTCAGCGTGCGTGTATGTGTGTGTGTGTGTGTGTGTGTGTGTGTGTGTGTGTATGTGTGTGGTGCATGTGCGTGTGTGTGTGTATGTGTATGTGCGCGTGTGTGTGTGCGCGTGTGTGTGTGCGTGTATGTGTGTATGTATGTATGTGTGTGTGTGTATATGTGTGTGTGTGTGTGTGTATGTGTGTGTGTGCGCGTGTGTGTGTGCGTGTGTGCGTGCGTGTGTGTGTGTGCATATGGAGGGCATAATGACCAAATAAATCAAGGTAGTAACTTTCCTGGCAGTGATGTTTGTGGGTGAGGGTCCCCATCTGCTGCGAGGGAGCAGGGCTCTCATTACACCCCC